CTGGCGCATAGCAGTGACTGATGCTCCGAAAAGGGCTTTGGGCTCAACCGGGGCATCCAGGAAATCAGCTTTCTCTCTGTCAGATAGCCCTGAAAGTCCCAGCCAGAGAGCCCGCTCGCCCACCACTGCCAAGCCCATGCTGCAGCCACAGCTCTGGACTGCCCCCCTGGAGGTTCTCAGGTTGAGATCGGCAATAACGCAGATCTCTTGCCAGAGAGCTGGGTTTGGTGACCCAGCATCCATTTGTCTCCCCATCTCCTCCATGAGCTCTGCTTGATAAGCATTGAGGAGAGAGGTAGCATTCAAAGCCCTCACTGCCAGAGCAGAGGAACGATAGATTTTCTGAAAAACTGAGGCTGTTAAGCGCAGTGAAGCTGAGGCAGAAGAAAAAGCTGCTCTGCAACTAGGTTTAAGATTATGTGCCACTGACAGTTCAACAGGAGGGGGATTTGACATCCCTAGCTCCTCCATGTTGTGAACATCTAGTCTGGAAAATCCCTTCACAGGAACCCTGTGTGAAAAGGGTTTGTCCCAGAAACGCTTCATTTCTGAAATGCATGCGGGGAGTGAAGGAATTACCGTTTTATCAACTGGGACATATAGGTCTCTCTCCTTTCCCTGGCCCGCCTGCTGCGACGGCCATTCAATAGAAAGTTTTGCAGCCGCCCTCCTGCACATTTCGATCAGATCAAGCTCCACTTGAGCCGAGGCCGGGGACCCTTCGCTTAACGCGCTTCCCGGACGGGAGGGTATCGGTGGTAGGATCGCGTCGTCATCATCATCCTCTCCGTCCTCCTCTAACAGGCGAGTGATTGCTTCGTCATCTTCCTCCTCCTCTCTTCCCTCTGACAAGATCGGGAAAAGAGGGGGAAGTTCGGGAGAGACTAACTTCGGGAGAGATCCATAAACTCGCCCCAATTGCATGACACAGGCGGCTGTTTGGTCGACATGGTCGACGGAGAAAGGGAGGGGTCTCCTTTATTAGCAGCTGCCACCCGCACTCTTCTCTCCAGAACCCTTGACGGGAGAAGGGAACAGTGCGGACAGCACTCAGGGTTCGTGAGTGCTGCTTGAGCGTGTCTCACCCCCAGGTATACAATACATAGGGGATGAGAATCCCTGCTTGAAATACTTGCTCCGCATGCACAAAGACGCGAGGCATCTTTCCCCGTCGCGGCCCCGCTTGCGGAACTAATAGTCGTGTCCATTCTTTATCAAGCCGCTAAGCTCACCACAACGTGTCGCTTAGAAAAAAGACAGACCAGAGAATTCGTTCGTTTGTCCTTAACAATAGTTTCCACCTTGACAGTGAAAAACACCCGCTCTCAGAAAAAACTGCGTTCAGCGACGTACCTTGACGGCTCGTCTAAGAACAGTTAAGCAGCTAATCCTGAACAGAGGGCAACCTAGAATTTAGCTTCACAAAAGACCTCCCTGGGGAAGAGAATGAGAATGAGGTAGGGACCTTTATGCAGTGATATATATAGGGAGGTGGGAATCCCGCATTACTGTCGTGATTGGTCGGTCAACTGACAGACGTGGTGTAATTGGTGCTTCCAGGATTGGTCACGCCTGAGGCGATTTCCATGGGGAGATACCGAACGAATGTTTGAAAGAGAACTGGGAAAGTATTTCATGCAACAATTGGACAATCAAACAATACTGATTCTCTATTTAAAGTTGTTTTTTAATTAAATGCTGTTACTATCAATACAAACTTTCTATTTATGTGGTGTTCTGTGCTGAGTAGCTCTGCCAACTGTGAAATCTCCTAAATAAATAAATAGCCTACATATATACATATAAATAAACATCAAATATGGTCTGATTGGCAGGGATTGTGCAAGGTTGTACAGCAAATTTCTTCACAGGAAACTTGTCATGCCTATTTAAAACACTCTTGGCTCATGAAGTGCCAAGTTTGTAATTTTGTTAAACGCAATCACAAACTAATATAAAATGGAAAAGTAGAAAGGCAAAATATGAGACAATATTTTTTTCAGTTATTTTTGTTCCTGGCAAAAATATCACAGTGTGGGAGGATAGATCAGGGCCAGACTCATTTCAACACTTACCCTATCCTGCGGTGAGAGTGAAATGGAACCACCAGGTCTACTTGTGGAATCTAAATAAACCATTCAAAAAAATAACACCCTTAAAACTGCCCCGCTGATACATTCTCTAGATTTGAATTCTCTAGAACTGTCCATGGCTTTACTGTCAATCAAAACAAGATCCTGTTACTGTTATAGCTTGAAACAAGATGGAATATCTTGATGAAACATGATTTAAAAAAACATGCTGACCAAAAACTAGCTTAGTCATACATTTGGTTTACATTAATTTTTTCTTTAATATAATATGCACACGCAAACACACAGATGCACACACACGCACACACACGCACACGTTGGGTTTCCATGTTTTATGGTGACATCCCATAGACGTAAAAAAAAATGTCCCAACAATGTCAAAATATACTGGTATTACTATTATCTAAGGGGTAATTTGGTCCTCATAATGTAGGGAATACCAGGAACACACAAATATACTATATATGTGAAAGTATTTAATTTTCATAGTTTTGCATTTATCCTTCAAGATCCTTCAGAAATAGTTCTAATATGCTGATTTGGTGATCTAATTAATGTATGCTTACTGAACAAAAGTATTACTTCTCTAAAAAACACTTACTGACCCAAAATGTTTGAATGGAACTGTATAAGTGTATATATTGTACATAAATAAGTATTTATTTTATTTAAAGGGGTCATATGATGCGATTTCATTTTTTCCTTTGTCTTTGGAGTGTTACAAGCTCCTTAATGTTTTTGTGTCGTCGCTCACATTATGGTGAGGGGCGTAACATTTCCGTCTCACGCTTGAGGTATCCGGCCAATCACAATGCACCGGATTGCTGGCCAATCACAGCACACCTCGCTTTTTCAGACCGATGAGTTTTGTAAAAATCGACGCGTTTCAGAAAGGCGGGGCATAGAGGAGAAACAATAATGTACAGTATGCGGAAAATAATGTTTTTTTACTTTAAACCACATAAACACATTTCATTACACCAAATACACAAAATAATGTTCTTTTTAGCAGCATCATATGACCCCTTTAATATTATTTAATAGTAATAAACAGAATTATACATATATAAAAATGGAAAACACTGCAAAATACTGTTTCATATACATACTTCTGAAAATGTTGTGCAACAGTCACTGTTCTTCCTTTAGTTTAACATTTCAATCCTGTTAAATTGATTCAGATACATTCACCATGTCATAAAAAGAAAAAAATTGTTTGTGTAAAGTTTGGCTTGAGCTATTAAAAGGGATAAGGCTTTGAAGAGAATAATGCATTATAACACATGATAACACATCATAACCTTAGGTTAATTGTTTGAATTGTTTATTGTTCGTGGTATAATGGAAATGAGTGGTGAATGAATGTTTCTATTTTCAGTATGAAAAGGACGTGCTAAAAATTACACAAAGCTAAGCCTAATCAAACAGACAAACAATTCCCTGCCAAAAAATAAATAAAATGTCTGTCAATTCTGAGGCTGTGAGAGTCTGAAGGTTAAATATAATGTCTTGATTAATGCTCCATTTTCAGAAATCCTTCAATCTAGCAGGTGGCCAAACATTTTAGGAGACAGTTACTGATGACTTTATTACAAGGTGACAGAGGTTCTGAGGCAGCAACGGAAAAGCCTATGGAAAGAAAAAACAACCCAGAAGAGCTGTCATAAAGTCACTGTGAGGGAAAGGACAAAAACACTTCCGGTTGTTATTTGTTCCACATCAGCTAAAACTGGTTTTGCTTAAATTAATGTCAGCCATTGAATTGCACTTAACAAAAGCCACCTGTATTCTTGGAGAGCAATCACAATGTAACACTCTATTTTTGGATTGCCCCCATCTGTGCTTGAAGCACCTATAAAATAGGCAATTTTACAGGTGGAACTGTGGATCAGTCAGCTGTGTCTGAGGGATAACCGATCTGGGCATGTGAAGATGCCTGGAGCTTGACAGCCTGGTGGATTGAAGGACCACACAGCTCATGTAATTTACTCAGAGTGAAAAAAGCACAGAGAACAAGAGAAATCACAGGAAACCAGTGGCCTTCCCTTTCAATTTACACTATTACTTTTACAATTGTCCTTGCATATCTCATAACACTGAAGATTGTTATGACAAATTGCCAAAGTAATCATGCAAATTGTGATGAGCTGCTGGTTTCTTTTGGCTTCTCTCTCAACAATTTCAACAATTGCTGAAATATGTTGCCGATGTGCTCGAGGAGAGAGGTGACATGCTGTTATCCACAGATACATCCGACTTCTAATTGCTTTCAAAAGCCATTTCCTATGATATTTGGCCACAGCAGAAGTTCATTTGCATCCTATGAAGAAGGTGCCTTGTTTTTTCTAAGTGCGCTTGCCAAACGGGTCACGCTTTCTCACGCTAATTATCCTATGAGTCATCGTTACCTGCACATCACGGCCCCATAAAAAGGTAAAAATAGACAGAGAACAAGATGGAGAACTGTACTAATTAACACGGCTCACCCTGTTTGCTGATTTTCCTCAAATGCAGGGAAGACAAATGAAACATTTTAAAGGCTATAACCGTGCTTGTTGAGGAATGTTTTTGGATGTATTGTGATTCCACAGTTCAGAAAGCACATTGTGAAAGTATTATAACCTAATTTACTTTTAAATTAGATCTTATTAGTTAGGGTAGGTCTGACAGTGAATGGAGGGATTTAACAAGTTAAAGAAATAAACGTTATTTTAAAATATATTAAAATAGAAAACAATTATTTTGTAAAACTGTAATATTAGTTTAATTAAACTGTATTTATGATTAAATAAATGCATCCTTGGTGAGCATAAGAGACATCTTTCAAAAACATTTAGAAAATCTTACTGACCCCAAACTTTCAAACTGGTGTATAATATAAGCAAAATTAATAGAACAATGTCTTACCTGTTTTAACTTCTTCAAGTCTTCATCCAACTCAAGATTGTCCAAAATCACAGCCACAAAAAGACTCAGAAGGATCTAAAAGACAAGAACATATTGAATTTAGCTTTCATTACAATTTGCCAATACATCCTTATATGCATTTAGAGTACTGTTTAGACAAAACAAATAAGCCATTTGAAGATATTTAAGACAATTCTTTCATTGTTCACATATTTTAACTGAACATCAACAGGTCTCAGCAGTTTTAAGACATAAACACTGTGATGTGGCCTCAATATTCTCTGCCATACATTGTCAGTAGGTCTATTGTGCTCATGGGGTGATGTTAACAGATAATCTGTCATGCAAACATGAGTTCTGTCCAAGATGTGGTTATGGTCCAACAATAAAAATAGCGTTTGGAAAATAATATGCTATGGTGGCCATGTCAGAGCCAAAGGAAAACAAAAACATTTCACCATAAACACAGCAAACAAAAGATTAGATGCTCAGGACAGCTACAACAACAACAAAAATGTAGTAAATCAATCACAGCTGACTGTGCCTTAGATGTCATCAGTGCTTTGATATTTAATGACACTTCTCCTTATATGTGAGGTGTCTAAAGCTGTCCTCAAATGCATTAGGCATTGTGTCTTCTCTTCATCATATTTTCTTTCTTTTTTTTTTGTGACAGGAAATTAATAAATGATTCAGCCATGTCTTGATTACATGCTTGGTCTGTTCTGTCATTAGTGTGCACTCTCATTCAAATGTCAAATTTAAATGGCTGCTCCTCACTCACTCAAACTTGTCAAAAGTCAAACAAAAGAAAAAAAATAATTACGACCATAGTGCAATTACATCCAGAGTACATTCTGTTTTCAACTGAGGATATTGCCAAGAAATGGTTAACATAAATCTATAGCTAAGATTTCATGTTCAAATATTTCATTATCTTTGCAGTATGCTTATATACTGTATAGGCATTGCGGAGATTTTATGTCAATGGTTGGTAAAACAACAACAAGACACCAATGGTTAAATGTTTGCTTGTAATATCTGTAATGGGGAGTGACAGGGGCCGTGATGTTGCTGTGAAATGCCCCAAAGACGTGCTTTTTAAAGATAAAAATACGGGTGAAGGAAGTGTTTGATGCCAGGTGTGACGACTATAAAATGCATGTGTGTTAGGATGTTTCCAGAGGCAATTTACTGCTGTATTTCCTAAGCAAGTGTTGTTTCATTTGTTTCTGTTCATGGTTAGGAGGCAGCACAGAAATATATCCATGTCCACTCTATACACAACACAAGTTTTTCAGGCAACAAGCAGTCAGATAGTCACAAAACTAACCAGGATTTCCTCCTTGAAGTCTTTATAATTACTGCCTGAAGAAAACATAGCAGGCAGTACTCAACTGCTTTACTACAGAAAGTCCTACACACAGACTGATCCGCTTTATTCACATTCACTAAATACCTGAGTACCTTAGACATCAGCTAGAGTGCTGCATCTCTTCAAGCCACAGAAAACTGTCCATTAGAGGTTGGAATACTGCTCTCACTAACATCCAACCTGCTACAGGATCTCTGAATATGTTCTCTTGATGGCTAGGTATGCCAAAAGATCAAGAGAGGGAAGGGAGGATGAAGGATGATTCATTTTCTAAAAGTCTGGTTAGCTCTCAGCAGCACAAATGCAAGCTTCATTTTAGATGCATTTGCTTTGCTGCTGCGTCCCTGAAATTGGTAACACATAGAGCATGTGCAACACATTGAACAGGGGTCCTTTATTGGATACACAATGAAAATTAATGTGATGAGGTGGATCAGGCTTCAGACAAGTCCCATCACACACTGCCAGCTATCTTTTAAAGTAAATCTTAAGTAAACCCTACGACCACATGCTCCCATAGTTTTAACCTGCACCAAAGGAGCCAGAGCAACAACTGTGAGTTGATAATTGTAATTTTTTAAAAGTTTAGTTTCCAGAATTACATTTTGAAACATCGAAAACCCACTGGCTAACCACAAATGTATATGTTTGGATAGCATCACCAAAATACTGTATGACACATTTTTGTAGGTTAAAGCCCAGAAACAAGTTAGCATTTAGCGCTTTATAACTTCAGGTTCCATTGTCCTGAAGTCAATGTGTTTTTTGAATGGGTTTTTAGTTTAAAACTTAAAATAAGGTTTGTGGTTAACACAAGCTCAATATATTTTCCCGTTTTATTCTTTAAAATAAAATACATCAGTAATAACCCCTTTTGGTTTTTAAAAGCTTAACTTGTTTTGAAAAAAGCAGTTGCTAACAAAAGTTAGAGTTGGTTAAAAGGGACTACAGGTTGTCGAGGCCCTTAAAAATCATCACGCTGAACAGGAAAATGAATCTAATCATTAGTTCATTTTATAGCCTCATTGTGTTTATAATCACACTCTTGCAAACTATTATAACTTTGTCGGAAGCCTAATAGTGGTGACATTGAAGTCATGCATCTGTGGTGAAGTTTGCCTACATTTAGATTTTTAATTCTGGTGATTGTATTTAGGCTTCAAAATTTGTGTTAAAGTTGTGTTGTATTAAATTGTAAAGACTATGATGATGAGCAAAATGTGTAGGAATTATAAACCTTTGTTGGTTACAGAGCTTATTTTTTGCAATATTGCAAAAGCCAATGGAAAAATTTGACTGGGTGATGCTAACTTTCAAGTTGGCCTACAAAAATATGTCATCACTGCAGTGCTCTATAGAAATCATTTTGTTTAATCTTACAGAAAACGCACAAATAGTTATATTTACCAGTGTGGCAAACAGGTGGTAGAGAATGAAGTATATGGCCACCACTGGAGCCCACATCTGTCCCACTGCCACCAGAGTTTGGTCCATGACATCCACCCATCCCTCCTGTGTAAGAATCTGGAACATGGACATAAATGCCTGCAGGAAAGAAAAAGAGAAATCATCAGCCTGTATTTTTTTATCAGTTTGGATTTTTTTTTTTTTTTATCAGACTGTATTTCTTTATCCTTTTATGAGAAAACAACAAAAGTCCTTTACAAGCTAGACAGCCCCCAGTGCCTCATCTGGATATTTTGAAAGTCATACACAGTTTGAATAACACGAGGGTGAAAAAATTATTTCTGGTTGAACTAAAACTTTAATAGGCATAACAGATGTACACTTTCATGAGTTTGATAGATGGCACTAATTGTCCTGACTCCTGACCTTTCCAGTCACCAAAACAAAATGGAAATTTGAAAACTAACAAGGCAGGGTAACAATTTTACATTTGTCGCTTTTCCTAAATATATTCTCATGTATATACAAGGATTTTTGACTGACAGTGCTATGACAAAAATAAGACAAGGCAGAGCACAATATTCACTGAAATGGATGCAAATAAAAATAAGGAAGAAAAAACAGTGTGCCCCAGGTCTCAGCATCATACGGAGATATGAGACCATATTTTCATGGCCTTTTTTCCATGGAAGTCAAATGAAGGTCTAAACCCAGCTGGTCCCAAGCCTGGTCACAGTCACACTGTCTATGAGTGACTACAGATGAAGATAATTTTGCAACAGGTCTATTGACAAGGGAGCTGAGTAAACATCATTATCTTCAATGGTTATCGTGCCACCCGCCTTGGAAATGAGCGGTATCTGTTTATGTGAGCCCCTCCAAATCCCAGCACGCATTGGGATCAGTGGAGTCCCACTAATAACGGAGGATAAAAAGACACCACTAATGAGAACCCCTCTCATGAGCACATAGTATCAAAAAACTCGATACATCTCTTACATACTGACAAATTAAGTAGTATAATAGATTTAGAGATATTTTGGTCAACGCTGGTTTCCGAGTTCTTCTCTAGATTTAACCAGTGTTTTTCTAACGTGACGATTGTAAGTATTTTAACATCTCAGCTATTTAAATCACAAATAAAAATTGTCAAGATACCAAAATCTCCAATCGTAATTTGCAGATTTCAAGAACTTTATCTGCTCCTCCAAGACCAACTTTTTTTAACATTTCATCTTTTGATCTACAACTACTTTCTGTGCCTCCAGAAAGAGGGAGATTTACCCGTGGAAATGTGGTGAAACGATCCAAGTCCTCCACAAAGCAGAACATCTGCAGACTGATGGCAGACATCACTATGAGCAGACTGGCAGTGAAAACCACTAGACTGCCGAGTTTCTTCCCTGGACCAAAAATCTTATACACAAAGTCTTCCAATGCTGGAGAAATCTTTATTAGACGGACCACTCGCAAAACCTGCAGGTAAGAAGGAAGAACATTTCAGTTTTCTTAATTTAAATCAATTTATCAAAGCATCAACCAACCAATACATCCACAGAAGCATCTTATTACACAAGTTTGACATAAATATTACCATGAAAACTATCACCAGAAGGCCTATGGAACATATTGGTGTTTGTTTTATTGATTTTTAATGAGCAAACACTGTTATCGGGTTCTTCCCAGAGTAACTTTGCAACAAATCGCATTGTTGCTCAAGCAGTTATTAAATTTCTCTAGGTGACAACAGATTTGAGCAATGATGTATCTAAGTTGAGTTTTGATCAAGAGCAGAGAATGGATATTGATCCATTTGCTTCTAGGTGAATGTGACCTGAGAGTCCTCCTGCTGTTGTTACTTTTAAACCTAGAAAAATCATCCAGCAATCCTCAGGAGAAGGTCTTTCTGCACAACAAACACATTGACAAATGTGCTTCTTTTGGGTTTTGTTGCTTCAGAGATCTAAAACTGCAATGCTCATCTATTGGTGCTGACCATTGGTTATAATATTGATTTTTGCAACTCTATTTCAGTTAAATTCTAACCACAAAGTTTCTGTAGCTCAGCTGGTAAAGCATGGTGCTAGTAAGACCACAGTTACGGGTTTCACACACTAGGAACGCACATGCTGATGAATATGTGTAAATATGGTATATATTTTAAATACACTGACAGTTACTTCAGTTGAAAGCATCTTCCAAATACATAAATGAAAATTCTTCCTAAGAAGACGATGAACTTTACTTGGGGACACTATGTGTAATGTACAAGAGATTTCTTACTGCATAGCTTGAGATCCAATGGAAATCGAGTACTAATTAGGTTCTCCAGAAAATAAATTTAAGACATATTGAATATGGCAAACTGGAAAGCAAAGGCTTAATTTGACCTTTACAGTAAAACAATGAATACATGACTGGTCTTTCTAGTAAGGAGCTAGAACAGTTTTAAAAACTGCTTATTAAATTATTTTTGTGAATGAACATTTTGCAGATTCTGCAAGGTTTATGTATATTTATGACCTCCACTTGTTACACACTTTGCAGCTACAGTGGGGAAAAAAAGTATTTAGTCAGCCACCAATTGTGCAAGTTCTCCCACTTAAAAAGATGAGAGAGGCCTGTAATTTTCATCATAGGTATACCTCAACTATGAGAGACAAAATGAGAAAAAAAAATCCAGAAAATCACATTGTAGGATTTTTAAAGAATTTATTTGCAAATTAAGGTGGAAAATAAGTATTTGGTCAATAACAAAATTTCATCTCAATACTTTGTTATATACACTTTGTTGGCAATGACAGAGGTCAAGATCCAATGGAAATCGAGTACTAATTAGGTTCTCCAGAAAATAAATTTAAGACATATTGAATATGGCAAACTGGAAAGCAAAGGCTTAATTTGACCTTTACAGTAAAACAATGAATACATGACTGGTCTTTCTAGTAAGGAGCTAGAACAGTCTTAAAAACTGCTTATTAAATTATTTTTGTGAATGAACATTTTGCAGATTCTGCAAGGTTTATGTATATTTATGACCTCCACTTGTTACACACTTTGCAGCTATGTGTTGCTGATACAATATGTACCTAACTCACACTGAAAAAAACATTTTCAAGCACATAAATGTAAACAAGTTAATAAAAGTTGTAAAAAACTATTACAGAACATTCAATAATGCAAAGAAGTAATTATGTTCAAAAAGTTTTAGAATATGAGTTTGAAGCCAGACATTGCTATTTGCGATAATGACTAATTTCACTAATGATGGAAAAATATAGAATGCTATTTACAAATCAAATTTAACATGGTGACTGCTCATGGTGAATCATGTGTCTTTTTTTATGGCAGCTTCATAATGAGCCCAGACATGAGGGGAGGATATGAATATTCACGGATGGAGCTCCGCCCCTCCTGCAGAGAGAAAACTGGAGGGAGAGCGCAGGTTGTGTCCTTAATGAGGCTTGTCAACGTGAGCGGGCTTCATCCATTCCCATTCCCTGCAGCTGCCTGGAGATGTATGAAAACAGCTCCGCCATGGCCACCAGTATGTGTTATTACCCTGCATTAGTGCATGATTAGCATCTCAGGATCTAGCAGGTGCTGCACTCATGCAAGGAGCCTTTTACAAATGCTGTGGCTGCACGTGGCATGGCCTCAGTAAAAATAACGTAATTTGTCAAAACGTTACCATCAGAATCAATCATGTCTGGAAACTAATCTGAGATTTACAGAGACCGTATTTTGTCTTTTTGTTTAAAAATTAGCATGGTAACATGTTGGCAGATGACAATGTGGATGAGAAATCAAATCAAATCACCTCAAATTAAGTTTCTACTATCAGACGTTACTTAATGTAGCATGTTTTTATTGGTCTCACATCACAAGCTTCCAACCCTACACCATAAGTTGATTTCAGGAACATGTTGCAGGTTTACTTGCGTAGCTGTACGATATATTTCAGTAATGACTAGTTCTAGATTTTCTTTGAATCTCTAACCTGGAAGTAGGTGAACTGCGAGTGGTAGAGATCAGGGTAGATGTGCAGGGTGGTGCCCACTACAAGCAGAGACTCAAACTTGTGTAGAGAGGAACTGATGTAGCCAGTGAAGCCCAAACACCAGATTTTCAGCAGGGCTTCCAAATCAAACAGCACAGTGAAGGCGACCTGAAAATGACAGAAAGAGACAATGAGAGGCAGGAAGCATGATAATGGAGAGCTGTTCCTTGTGTGCCCATTTCTTAGTAATTGCTTTTTAAGTATCCCTAGAGCCTTTGGTTTTTGCAAAGGGAACACGTATGTGAATACACGCACATTCAAACAAAGAGGGCTGAAGAACCATTTCCATTCATAATAACTCTGCTTTTTCATGTATAAGATACAATATATAGGAAGGACGTAATGGAAAATAAATGCAATCTTAGTGAGATGCATTAAGGCACGGGAATGTCAACAGACGACGGAAAACAAATGTAGTATTTCCCCAGTTTTCCCCCATTTGGTCTGATCCAAATAAAGAGCGGTGTGGATTAATGATGAGATGGATCGGTCTGTGAATATGTGGGGTGCCTCTTCCTCCTTATCTCTGTCTTTCAGCTTGGAGTGGGCGGGTGGCCACACTCCTCTATCTGTCTTTGTTCCCACTGTGCCACCTGCTTACTGATTGCAGAGGCAGTGCGTGGCAAACAGGACACACATACACACACACACCAACCCGGCGCTCGCTAAAATGGAGTGTTGCCCACAAGCTGTTTGCGCCCACGTTGTCACTCAGTTGATTTAATCTCAGGGTTTTTAAGGCGACAGAAAGTGACGAGGATATGTATATATGAGCTTTCAGCAAAATCTGATCTGCTGATGCGTTTGAGTGCAATAACAATATAAGGGTTCTTCTGCCCATCTCATAACTCATGATAACTTGAGTTGCAAAATTGTGTCTTTTAAAACTAATCAACATTGCCAAGACAAAGAAAGCACAGAAAACCCATCCCAGAAAAGTTTATTATCAAGTAGCATCTTGACACTGAATATCTGTAAAAGATGTGAAGGTTTTCACAGTGGGATTCAAATTATGCAGCACTCGTAGCACCTAGCATGAAAAGTGATCAGGGCGTGACTAGTAACATCTGGGGCATCCATTTTAGGCATCAGATATATGCTGTGTCCCAGATAAAATCTTAATTAAAAATTATAAGGAATTACAAATGAATGTAATTTTTGTATATAATTTTAAGCTCTATATTTCTAGCTCTGTTCAATTTACCCCAAAGATTGGACATAAAATAAAATAAACTGTATGGCATTTTATTACAGTTAGCTATGTGTAGTTTTATATAGGTTATATGTTTACATTGGTTATATAGGTATATGTAAATTATATATTTCTTTGTTTTATATGATTATATGTCCGCCTTTATGTTGCACCATGGTCTTGTGCGGCACAACATTTCTATTCCACATATAGTGGAATGACAATAAACTTGAATTTGAACTTAAAGGGATAGGTCACCCAAAAATTAAAATTCTGTCATTAATTACTCACCGTCATGTAGTTCCAAACCCGTAAGAAATTTGTTCATCTTCAGAACACAAAGATATTTTTGATGAAATCCGAGCGCTTTCTGACCCTTTGAAGATCTTACGAAGGTCTTATGGGTTTGGAACAACATGAGGGCAAGTAATTAATGACAGAATTTTCATTTCTGGGTGAACTATACCTTTAAACAACAGATGTGCTTCTCATCTCAAATTAAATCAGTAATATATCATTTAACAACTGGTAATAATCATCGTGTTTCAGCAAAAACTCATTGTATTCTTGTGAAATTGCTACACACATTAAAAAAAGACATTTAAAAAATCAACAAGTTTCTAAGAATCGATTTTGACAGGTCTTACCTCAGCCAGGTAGAACTCGTCATTGGTGAGTTTATGGTCCTCGCCCCTGTGGTAATTGCTAGCAGCTACAATCACGTCAACGGCCACCATACTGAGGATGAACATGTGGAAAACTGAAGATCGTATCAGTTGCTGCAAAGAGAAAAGATCAGACACAGTGTTGCCATTAGTTTAGCGACATGCTAACAAAGTCCTTTTGAGGCATGTCAGTGCAGACAATTTTTTTGTCAACTGTGCATATATATTTTAACTGTGCATGCATTTCAGTCAACTGAAATGCACAACTTATATTCCTAGAGCTGCCATACTGAGCAATTTCTTTAATTATTTTTATATGTATGTGGTACAGTCCATCTCCTCTTGCTTTTAATGTCTCTAGATGTATATTCTCTCTTATGAACAAGTAGGCTGACTGCTTCCTCATACTGAGTGTAGCTGCCGGAAGAACATGATTTTCCACTTGATTCTCCACTCTTGTATAATAGAACCCTTTAATTACAGTAAGGACTGAACCAACTAAATGGACCTTTACTGCCTGAGCCCTCAGCAGGCCAAATGAACCCATCACAGGCCCATTACAGACCCAGGAACATGAGGCAGGAAAGACAACTTAATTTAAGTCCAGACTGAGCCACCTGTCTGCTGCCCATGAAATCTGTCTCCACTTGAGACTGCGGCAGGTATTTTTTCCTCTAAAAGTTAGCTGCAACATTGGATTAATTATAATGGAGGTATTTGATTTGAAAAACAACATTAAACTCAAGCAGCATTATAAAGAAATGTTCCTGCCACAAAACATGACATTTGGAGCACTGTAATTTTAATTCTTTTTTTTGCTTTTTATTTTAAGATATTTTTTATTATTGCCATTAAAAGGCTCCAGAAGCCCATTTCTTCTCACTCCTGCCAAGTTTCTTCCAGTGAGGGAAGAAAAAACACTGACTAATAAGACATAATCTTTTGGGTCATGTGTCTGGAAGCCAGCATTCTAGATAAACAGCTGTCTCTGGAGCTGTTATCATGGGTCTCGGAGTACAAAATACAGCATATTAAAGCCATAAAGGTAGCAAACAAGCAAGCAAACAGGAGTGATATGAAAATAAATTACTGACAAAATGAGAATGTGTTTATTAATATATATTTATACTACACCTGCCTAGCATGATTTTATTAGAAACAGCTTTGCTATTATTACTAACAGTACATTTCTATTATTGTCATCACACAGTTATATTTTCCTACATCACCCAATCACTAAAAGTAAACGAAAGTATAAAAGCAAATTAAATTAGCATAGACTGTATTTTGTATTAAGGTGAGTGAAGTATGCATTGAGCTGCAGGCTGTATTAATTTAAAGCAAGTGACATTTTTTCAAGTATTATCAGATGGGTCTGTACCTGTTTTATACCCACGGTTCTTTCTATGGTTTAAACTGAAAAACTCCAATTACTCCATGCAGAAAATTAGTGCAAGTTCAAGCTTTTTTTGTGATGACATATGTTTACAAGCCAACTTAAATATTTGTATTATTTTTATTATAACTATTATTATTGTGGCATTCCAGGGAAAATACAATACCAACAATTCTGAAGGAGATCCACCAATCAGAGAAGTAATTGTTGTCATGGAAACAGGAATCTGGGGAACAGAGCTCAACAGTAACCAGTCACTCCCATAAAGCATTGCGCATGATGTAACGATGTGCATAGTCTCATTACACTCTGAAATAACTTATATATTTGCATACAATTAAATAGTCTGCAATAAACTTCAAATATATGGTGCTTCTGACCCTTTTACATAATTTGCAATTTTTTCAAAATAATGTGAGTACTGGCAGACAGGGGACAGGGTGGATGGAGTGTTTGGGAAACCTGTTTGGAAGCAATATTTCTATTTCAACAATTTTGCTTGGTGCCCCTAGTGGCACAAAACGTACACACTCAACCTTTAACTCCAATTCACCAGCGTAGACACAGAGGAAATACCAAACATGACCAATGACAGAGTGCCAATATCTAGTACATTGCAGTGTTATGACACAGTGGATGGCACGGTCTAACTTGTATAAGCGCTCACAGCTTGGGTGCATTTATGTGTTATAAAACAATGAGAAGACACACAAAAGAGATGCAGATAAAATGCAACATGTACACTCAACTGTCCAAATACATGAACACAGCTTGTGGGTGGGTGGAAAATCTCAAACAAGCTGGAGAGAGAGGAAATGAAAAAGAGACCAAAAAAAAGAAACAGAGGAAGAGGAGAGAGAAAATGAGAACAGAGGAAGGACCTTTTGGAAGACCAACAGAAAGAATCCCACATCTTTTGGAACAGCCAAAACAGTAAATAACAATTATATAAAAGAGATTAAACTCCTCTTTAATAGAGAGAGAGAAGGAGGTAAACAAGTCTACAACAGCATCGAGCTCTTGCTTTTGTCTGTACTGATATATTTATCTAATAACAGTAAAATTGAGTATTATTTTATTGCTTTATATACAGATAAAGCATTTAGGGGAGGTCCTGCCTTCCTTACAGACCACTTTTTTAACATTAGTCATTCAGTCAAATTGCTGAAAGCAAAAGACAGCAAGAAGCAATTAAATAGAAAATGGTTTATTAAGTAGAGAGGTGAAAGACCTGTGGCAGGGTTCGTAGGCAGAGACATAAAAAGAGACATTCTCCCTCCGGGTTTGACAGCCAGACTGGGCCACATGTGGAACAATGTGGGCCCCACACCACATACAACCTTCAAAATAAAGCTTGCCTTTGGGAAGACAATAGCAAAAAGGGCATACAAGAAGAGATTATCTGAGAACAGATTTTCTCTTCTTCTTTGTGTCCAGAGGCTGTCCATCTGCCCAGAGAGATATAGTGACTGCGGTTCCTTAGACTTGTGTACGTTGTAAATAGAAGGTAACTGTTTTTGTAATTGCCAATTAAACTGTCCCTAACCCTGCTAGGGCTCTGTTTGGAGTGCAGTAAAGTAATCTAAAAAAGCCAACGTCTTGAACATTACAAGTCCTCACATAGCATAGTTTTCTCAACAACTAGTCAAGTTGAAGACCTACAACTAAGTCCACAAAAGAAAATATGCTCTCTAGTTGTCAAAAATGTAAATTAAATTTGAGTATTTACTCATAAAAATCTCCTTTGTATTACTTCACTTTCAGTCTTTGCAGTCTTCTTTGACTGTGAGGGGTCAGTAAGATGTTTTTTTTATTTTTATTTTTGAACCATGTCTCTTGTTTTATGGTGCTAAATTTCCTACACCTTCTGCCTTATTTTATTTATTCTCAGGTTAGGTAAAGTAAGTCAAATCTGTCCTATCTCATAAGCATCTGAGTTCATACTTACAAAACAGGTCGCAGAAGACTTCTCCGTGGTTTATTCTGTCTTAGCTGTTAAATCAATGCCAGGGGAGGCAGACTTGTGTTGTATAAATACAAGTCAGTTTATTTATTACAATTAGTAAGTAAGCTGTACAAATATTCTACAACTACGTAAAGTATTAAATAAAGTATAAATACGAAAAAGTTCTTTGCTCAAGGCAATATCAGCGATGGTTCTGGTGCCTGAGAAGCTCTTCAGGTGGTCCCAAAACAGCATCTGATTTCATCATAGCACTTCAGTCTTTTATAGACAGCAGGTGGATCCCAATGTCTTGTGACATCATACCGGAAATCCCCTAAGAAGTAGTTTATATAAGGCCTTGCATCTTCTCATTTTTCTTCTTCAGGATTCTTTGCTCTGCTGTCTTTAAATGTCCCATATTATCAAAACTGAAATTTCCTGGCTTTTTTCACGATAACTTGAGGTCTAGGGGCTATTTAACTACCATATAAGTTTCAAAACAGTCCACAGTAAAATGCACACAGACTGCATAAAGTAGCTGTGATTTTTCACAAACCGTTGTGACTTCCATAAAAAGTTGACATCAGAACTATACAGTCACCGCCTTCAGTCACCACCCCGAGCACTGCCCACCCTCCCAATCTCCTTTTGCCAAACCCCCAGACAACATCGCGTCCAAGACATTGCTGAGCAACAACAACACGGAAACATGTCGACAAGGTTAACTTTAACCACGAAACCAGATCGGCCGACCTGTAACGTTACACTCTCACTCAAAGGATGGACAATCTGACAGGATTGTTACTATAAGGTGGATCACATCTAACGTGTATAGTAAAGACAAACTCACTGTGTCTATCTAGTCATGATGAAGATGTATATAGATTTCAATTTCAGCAGGCAACTATTTTTTACAGTTACACTATTGTTCCAGCCACAATTAATCACAACAATGTATATACAATTACAAATGATTATATATAAATCATCAGTTTGTTGTTTTACACACATGCACACAGACATTATTTCATCAGTGGCGGCTCATCGGGGGAGGCAGGGGAGGCACAGCTTCCGCATAATTTTGAGGTGAAAATGGGAGGAGGACGATTTAATGTTAATAAAATTCACAATTAATTTCAGTTCATGTCTCAGAATGTGTATTTTTTGTTTGTAATTTCACAGTTGTAATACCATAACGTGAAAGCGCCGCTTTTCTATCTCGAATGTGCCGAATCTGCTGATGTAAGTACAACCGCTAGGTGATAGAGAAGGGAAGGGGGAAGAGGGCTGAGCTCTCGTGCCTCCGATGGTAAAAAAAATTTGCCAATCACCATCGAGTGTTCACTTTCAGCGCTGAGGAGTGTTGAGAAAAGAACCCTCGTAGAGGAGGCTAGCCTCCTTCTAATATCAACCAAGCATCATAAAGACGTAAATTATGTGATATTAGTTTGAACATCTCCCGCTGTGCTGATAATGTACCAAATACTTATGAGCAGTGATATTGAATATTTGACTGGCAACAGATTTACCAAGCTGTCATTCAAACAGTATATATACAAATTTAGGGAAAACAATTTAAGCTGGATATAGGCTACAGCAGTCGGCTTAATTAAATGGCGCAACAGGCAGCTCTCTTTTAACACAGACTTTTAAGAAGGGATGGATGTTTGCTTCAAGTGATAGGCCAGGAAAGTGAAATTATATTATATTGCTGTATGTATGTCGTTTTCTGATTAAAAGCAACCAAAAAGCCATTTTAAAGTTGTTAAGCAA